CAACCTTGTGTCGTTTTCTGGCTTAATAGTGATGGAGCATGTTGGAGCATGTTTAAAAATAAAAATGTACAGTATTATGCAGTCAGAAAGTATCTAAAGCGAATACCAGTTCTATATTTCTTATTCACAGCACATATAGATAAAGCAGTGAAGGCAAAATGAATTGCGTCGGCAAGATGATTACCGATTAAACATCGTTCTCGTCTAGTTATCCATGTATTCGTTTGCCTCCTCACTCCTGCTTGTGACACCTTTGTGCTCCACGAATATGGTGCGTTCAAATCAATCATTGAAAAAGCAGCGTTCATTAATACCACGCGACTAACCAAACTGTCAAAACGAGTGCCTTTTCCCCCCACACACACGAAGCTTCTCCTCCCAGCGGCTCGTTTCAGCTCCGCAGTGCCGACGGTTGTGGGCTATTCAGCTGGGAACATTACATCTCATGCCGAGGGTCAGTCTAGGGTCAACACAGGTAAATACAGCCAAACAGAAACCCGTTCGTGCGACCCCAAAAAAGTAACAAATGACCCCCGATGCTCAGGAACGGAACACAGACACCCTCACCCCCACCACCCATTATTGGTTTAATCACATCACGGTATTTCCAGGTCGGCTGTTGTTTACCTGTGCCACTCAGCTGAATGGAAGGGACACCTGTGTAACCCCCCGCACGTACACTGCGATCACAGGCTATTATTCCATAGTATACTGCTACATTGTGTTCAATTTCTAAGCCAACCCGTTTAAGTATTATATATACTAGAAAGCTTTTCACGTGCAACCATTAACCAAGCAAGAGTGGTATTTGTTTCCTGGAATTAATAAGCTAAACAAATATGCATGATTTATTTAGTATATTTAACAGCTTAGTCCACTATTTTACAAATACAGTATTCCATCCGTTTGCATACAATGCTCACGTTAACAATGACTATAACAAATTCGTTTACCTATACAAGGGTCACATTCTCACCTCACACTCTACGAACATTCTTGTTAAAGTACTGGGAAAGCGTGTTGATTTTAAATTGCATTTTCACAGCCCTGACATTCGCCTAGCTAATGTCAACTTCATCATCATCATAATCATAAGCAGCAATTGATCAATCCACCGCTGGGTGAAGACCTACCCATGCCATCGCCCTCTCTGACAGTTATGCAATGTAAAGTCGCTTAATCTAACAGATGTCAGTGCAACACCTGCGGTTCTGCTGCGTTTGAATGATCTGATCACTCCGATGTCATCCCATTTGTAGCAGTCTCACGGCAGTCCCAGTGTAAGTCACTGAAATTGCTGTGGATGAGTGTATTGTTGACACAGACACTGATGTATGTATGTATGTAGAACCTCTTTCGCACCGCACGTAGCCAACCGTGCTAAGGGCAACACACTAAACATAGAAAAACTCGCAACTGCAGTTTTCACATTGGCAGACATCGGCCCTGTGTCGTCAACATTTTACAAACAATATTCTGACTGGCTGGGTTAGCACATGGCACGTGACAGCTTGGAGATACTGGGATGTGTTTACGTGGCTATGAGCAGAGGGCAACTGGAAGTGGGGATTGTGGTGAGAGTTCAGTTTGTGCCGTCTGCCCTGTGGAACAATATTACCTCACAGATTAACAGTTTACGTAGCTAAAATAACTGCTCGTTTTCATTAGATTGGTGGAAAGTGTCCAGCAATTCCTTGGCACATTATTAACAGACGCTGTACTGTATTCCTTAATCACTTTAAATAAGAACAGCTGCTTCGTGACTACCAATTCCATGCACGCATAAAGACACTACTTCTCTCCCTAGATATGTACAGGCAGTTCATTGTCAAAGCTGTAGTCATCGTTATCATCAGCAGCGATGGCCAATCCACTGCTGGATGAAGGCCTTCCCAAGCTGCTACCATCTACCATGATCCTCTAATGTAATAATCCACCGAGCACTTGCACACAAGCTGATTCCATGAAGGCTCAATCTCACAACTAGACATCCTCTCAGACTCGTCACATTCATTGGCTGCCAATCCACCATTATTCTTGCCCATCCGCCATAATCGCTTCCAGTGATGATGTGTCATGTCCAAGCCCTCTTACTGTTCTGAACGGCTTGAATTATGTATTTAACCTGCTTCAGCGCTCTAATCCATGTGCCATCTCCCAATGTGATCCCAGGCAATCATCTCTCCACGCTTCTTTGCGCACTTTCAGTTTTTCGGTTAATACAGTATACTGAAATTGGACGAACGCAGCTGACATCGGAGACTTTGATAGTGATTCATTTGGTTACCGAAGAGGAAAGTAAACAATATCCCTCACTATATTTTCCATATCCGCTCTGATCAAAAGCATTAAGGGCAGGTGCGTGCAGTCTTGCATCATGAACATCCCTCGGCAAAAGATACGCGTGCTTTTTGTCCGACACAAGAGGCAACGCGTTGTGTAATAACACAGTACAATTACTCATCAAAGCCTTTGATTACATCTAGCACTGTACACACTTCGCAGGCCTATGACCTATCTCGTCTGATCTCAGAAGGTAAGCAGGTTGAGCCTGGAAAATGCTTGGACCATTATTCGATTACATTTTTAATAAGTGTACAAACAGGTCGTCAAGGGGCTTGCGGGGGGGGTGGGAGGGTGTACGTGGTGGGTAGCAGAGCTCAATGCAGAATTTCCATGGTTTTATTGGACTCGACTCGTATGCTCCCACCTCAGTTCTGCCCATCTTCACCAACCCGCACTGAACGACGTGGTGAAGTGCAATGTAATGGTCAAAATAACGCACGACATGGAGCGGTCCTCATCCAATAATGGATTGACAACAAAAAATCTGTAACATGTTCACATGAATACAGATGATTCCTTCCCAGTCACCACTCCCCCCCCCCCCACACGCCCTCGCCCATTCACTGCAGGTGGAACCCAGTCGAAATAAAGACGGCTAATGATGTCCACGGTTGAGAGGCGTCCAAAGCTTTTTGACAACTTGTCTGGCCCCGCTGTCGCGTCGCGGGGCCGCGTTTCAGCAGAGGAATGTGGTACGGCGTGGTTTCGTACAAGTTGTTCCTTCATATTAAAAAAAACTGAACCGACTCGCTTAGTCAGGCAGCCGAGATTACTCTGAGAGAGGAAGAGGAGGCGGCGTACAGAGAGAGAGAGAGACTCCGAGAGAGGAATAGGCGGCGGCGTAGTGAGAGAGACACTGTGTCTAGCGCAGTTCGGAATTTTGAATTTGAGCTCCAAAGCTCACTCGAAAAATATTTACCAGCATCACGCACGCACGGCAGCACTGAGTACACCGGTGTTATTTTTGTTTTGGGGAACCGAATGTGCACGCATGCAAAGTCGTGAGAATAAAGGATTCACCTGTTTATGCTTGACAATATTATCCGAATTATAAGACGCTCCAGAAAGTAAAACGCAAACCCCCCGCCCCAAAACGCGTACCAGGTCTCAATAAATGAATACAAATCGATCACATTCACACACACACACGTGTGTTTTACTCCAGAGAAAGAGTGCGTGTCTTACAGTAATCCTGAGGAATAATGGTAACCAAAGCAAGTCAACGTGACCGGCAAAGTGAGAGAACTGGTGGGGGGGGATGGGGGTCACAGCCCTTGCCTGGAGTGGGCCCCCATACCTGCGCTAGGCGTGACACGAACGCCACCCAATCTTGATTTGAAGTTTTCGTGACTGCAGGGATCCATATACTCTTTGGTTCTTTCGGTAAAGTCACGTAGGCATAAAATAAATTAAATCACGACGTGTCGATTGCAACACAAGCAATCATCATCAGGTGGTAAAACCACAGCAAGAAAATGTTGTTGCTTGTGTTGCAATCGAAACTCCGTGATTTAATTTATTTTATACCTACGTGAAAGAACCAAAGAGTTACGCCACCCACACAACACGTCTTCTCCCTTCAACGTGGTTCGCTCGCTCGCAACACAACAACAAGCCCTTTTAGTCTCACACCAACAGGGAGGCGAATGCGGTGTCAAAAAAAGGGCACGCGACGGGGTTTTATTTTTTTGACACCTTTGCACGGCCAAGGTAAAGAGGTTTGCACGCCATCGTTACGCTTAGCGCAACAGGTGTACACACAGGAAGGATGCATACCGTTGTGTAGGGATACTGCAGCAGAACAAATGAAACATTTTTTGTTCGTATTTTATTTTACCAGGTAAGGCCCACTGAGCCATGTAGCTATTTTTGTAAGAAGAGACCTGACTATCACAAATATGAACTGTGTGGAAATGTATAGCAGCCAAATACTCATTTAAACTCATTTGTTTCTAAATGTTAAGGGAAAAACCGCAGGACTTGGGAGAAAAAGCCACGCAACAACGGGGAGAACATGCAAACTCCAAATATGCAGGTGTCAGTCAGAATCGGAATCGAATCCATGACCTCCTGTATACCAGGCGAGGTAGTTAATATCTCACCATGTCACAAAAAACTCCACACAGTAGTGATAATACTGGCCTGGAAGGGAAGCACATGTAGCACACACAGGCGACGTTTCGGGCAATGATCCTTCAGAATAGCACGTCAATGGTGTACAAGGCAAATACCTGTCTTAAGGGTTTAATAATCAATTACCAATCACACACAGGAGGCTTCTTCTGACCTGACATTTTACAGAAATAAGACCCCGCTGTTTCGAACGATTTTCTTTCGTAAATCATTGACGCGAGCCATCCAATTTGACGTGATTCTGGGCACAAACCTACGCAGTGGAATTTCCGCAAGCGCTCTGCGAAGCCCTCGTGCGGTCTATGCTTATGGCCAGCATACGTGAATGTTGCACGGACTTTCAACTCGGCTCCTTCACACGACACTGCGTGCGGTGTGTGGTAGGAGAGGGGGAACGCACACGTACACGCACGTCGTCGTATGGGGAAGAGCCGACAGCTCTTCCTTCTGCGAAGTCTCACAACAAGCAGAAGTTTTTTAACAAACAAACAAAAATAAAGGTCGACTTCGCGCTCACTCACCTATCTGCGAGTGCACCTTTGCGACAGACGCCAATGCACAGACCAGGTGCAGCACTCCCATTCTCCAGAGCATCGACCGCATTTCGTTCGTCGATGGTTGCACACCAGCGTAAATCACCGACCACACACACCAGTGAAGACGGTTTAACTTATCCTCCGGGTTAACGCAAGGGTCGAGGTTAAGCAACAAAACCACCGATGGCAACACAAGCAAGAGCAACTCCGAAATGAAGGGGGGCGTTGTGGAAAGTTAGAGAGGGTCCGCGCCGGGACACGCAGAGGGGGGGGAGGAGGAGGAGGCGTTTTGTTTCGGAGGCTGCAGCGAGAAAAGCGACGTTCGGACGCTCCCAGGCGCCGTGGCCAATAGGCTGCGGGGTTCGTAACAACCCCCCCACCTCCGCACGTCAGTGTTAAAACTGTGGTGGAGGCGCTCTTTGGCAAACACCAACGCCAGAGAGAGAGAGGGAGCGAGCGAGCGAGCGGAGGAGAGGAACGCCCACGTGCTGAGTTGCCCCCCAACCTCTCGGGAGCTTCGCTCTCCCTCCCCAAAGCAGTGGCCTCAAATTTCGATTTAAAGCTTTCGTGACTGCAGGGATTCATCTTCTTGGTTCTTTCGGTAAAGTTACGTAGAATGGAAATAATAAAATAATAAAACATAATAAAATAAAATAAATTCTCACATATTTATTTCCATTCTACGTGACTTTACCGAAAGAACCAAGAAGTGGCCTCAAAGTTAATTGCAACATTTAAACCGCGTTGGATATGCGTACTGCATATGCGCGTGTGCGCGATTTAAATCGACGATTTCCCGTGGTCTGATGGGAAGGAACACTAACCTTGCAATCCAGACATTCGCCGTTTCGATCTCCTGGCGCGGCAACCGAAGCAATTGACACATGTATGACATCCATCTCGCCTCTGTCAACCCATCATTAACAACATTTAAGCGCCACAGTCGATCCGGCACATGGCAGGTCCCGTGGAGTGGGTAAAGTTTGGGTACGAGAATACCCACCTCTTCCAAGATGTCTGGCCAACGTGGAAGAGTAGGCCAAATACCCTCTTGCAGCAGCTTTATATCGACCCACAGACACGCACAGACATCCTCTTCCTCAGATCGAGTGGTGGTGGGGGGAATCATCTACGAGTTCTGCGGAAAAAATAGCTTCAAAGCTCATCGGATTCCTCAACAATAAATATTCTTTCGATGTAAAGCTTTCGTGACTGCAGGGATTCATCTTCTTGGTTCTTTCGGTAAAGTCACGTAGAAGGGAAATAATAAAATAATAAAAATAAAACATAATAAAATAATTCTCACGACGTTTCGGCCACAACGCAAGCAGCCGTCCTCAGGTGAAGACCAGGTCTGTCGGGGAGAAAGCGTCTGACACATGTATGACATCCATCAGACGCTGTCTCCCCGACAGACCTAGTCTTCACCTGAGGACGGCTGCTTGCGTTGTGGCCGCAACGTCGTGAGAATTATTTTATTATGTTTTATTTTTATTATTTTATGTTTTCCCTTCGACGTGACTTTACCGAAAGAACCAAGAAAATAAATATTCTGATTCTGAATAATACTCTGAATTTCTTCCCATTTCCAGACCTGGTATACATTTCGCGAAGGCTGTGGCTACTGTTTCCTCGTCTACCAGCAATCCAGAAAAACAACATACGTGAGATTTTAATCCGTGGTAAAGTTGTTGTTCACAACTTGGCGCCGTGTCGCGAGACATCGTGAAATATTGAGGGATTATTCATGCATGAGCGTCATGCGGCCAATGGGAAGGCGACGCCACAGTGGGACCTTTATTCTATCCCTTTACGGCGCACGTGCTCAGGTGTGCAATATTTATGATGGAGGAATCCGATGAGCTATAAAGCTCCTTTTTCGCAGATGTCCAATCGGGGGGGGGGGGGGGGGGGGTGGTTTGACTGCACGAGGAGCCGTTTGTGTCGAGAAAGTGCGACGCGCATTTCACGGGAGACCTCGCATATTTCTGAACGATAGTGGCGATTAGTGGCTGCATTCTTTCCATTGCCCCGCTATGGTGCACGCGTTGAGCCGAGCATGAAATCAGATAGGACGTGCAAAATGCAGCCCGCTAAACTGTACCGTGTCGCGATTCGGCGATTGTTACCGACTTTGCCTCATTTCAGCCGGCAAAGTCTTGAACGCTGTCATGGGAGAATGGCACGCCACATCCATCTCGCTTTATTTATCCTTTCCTACGATGAAAACATTTTTAGTTTTGCTGGCTGGTGGCTGGCTGGTGGGGGACGTCATCGCGCACACCTGAGCGCGATGACGTCACAGTGCGCACGTGCATGGGCAGTGCTGGTTACATGTTAAACATGAACCTGTGCATAGGATTGTACGAATATAGGGTTCACATAATTTTAGATGGTTGTGGATACGCGCACCTTGGAGGCTTGTATCGAAGTCGTAATGCCCTACACCCTACACCAAGCAGGAAACGCAGCGTTCCGAGAAACGTCAAGTCAGAAATTCATCTCTGGCTACTCAACAAGTCACGAGTGTTGGACGTTCTTTGTACAAGCCGACTTAAGCGTGTCCCATTGATTTACATTCACGATTTGCGGAAATAAATGACAGTGTAACAATTTATTTTAATTTTTTGTCCCTGGGGAGCAAGTGTTATTTCCTAATTGCTTACGTCTTAAAAGTACAGAAAATTGCTATTATTCCCCACAAACTTTAACTTTTGTGACCAGGACAGTGATATTTAGAAATGTACCTATTTTCCAGAAAATTCCAGATAGATTCAGTGCTGAGTAAACTTGGAGTAACTTCTAGAACTTTCCAGTAATATAAATAGTAGTATAAATACATGGGCCTTAAGCCCACCAGTTCAGTTTAATTCGAGCTGCCTAAGTGGATACATATCTGCATTTTTCTGAGATGGCATCGAGAGGCTGCAAGCATCCGGTAGACGCATTTTGCTATGTCTGTGGAAGCATCTGCTAAGATGTGGCTTCTTGGGCAATCACAAGGTCGAAAACTATGTGGAACTGGTTGAGACTGGTGAAGATCTACGGCACAATGGGCTGTGGGATTGCCCTCAAAGTCCATATCCTTGATGTTCATCTTGATAAATTCAAAGAGAACATGGGAGCGTACTCGGAGGAGGAAGGGGAGGGCTTCCACCAGGATATACTGGACTTTGAACGCCGCTACCAAGGACAGTATGAGAACATGATGGGAGACTACATTTGGGGGGCTGATTCGTGAAAGTGACTTAGTGTCATCGTAAATCTCGAAAAACTACTCACTTCTAAATCTTTTGTATATATTTTTGCATTACTTTAGTATAAATAAATGTTAATTTTGATTCATTTTGGTTTTTTCCTGACTTTATGTGAACGAAAAGACACAAATTCGTCCGTTTTTTCATTGAAAATAGCTAAATTTCAAAATATCACCGTCCTGATCACAAAAGCAAAGTTTGTGGGGAATAATAGTCATTTTCTATACTTTTTTGGTATAAGCAATTACGAAATAACACTTACTACCCAGGAGCAAAAATGGAGTTACATAGTGTTAGTACTATTTGTGCCAAAAGCACCGCTTTAGTAGGGGGGGGGTACTAATCAGCACTCATGGAGGCATTGAGAGGTCTCCAAATTCTTACATTTAGCACTTTGAAAGACTTATATAAGTATAGGTATCCACTGCTAGCTAGTTGTATTTTTATGATGTAAGATTGCGTTGCAATGATTAGTTAAACCATGATAGGTATGTATACTCTTAGTTATTTCGGTAAAGTCACGTAGGTACCTTCGTGACTTTACCGAAAGAACCAAAGAGTATGAATCCTTGCAGTCACGAAAGCTTCAAATCTAGAACATGATAGGTATGCACAAACGGCAACTGAATCGACCGCTTACAAAACTAAACAGCGCCACCTACCGCGCACAAACTGGCATTGCCAATAAACGTCAAACATTATTTCGGGCATTTTCACATGTTTTTTTCAATGATTTGTTTATTAGCATAATTAGTCGACCACACTTTCAGCCTTTTTTGAAAAAATATGTTTCCTATAAATAACCAAAATCTGCAATAATAAAAACAAGCGACAGCAGCGAGAACTGGAGCAGTATGTTTGGCGGGAAAGCAAAGACCGTCAAAACGCCTTAAGTCAACGTCTCTACTAAAGCCTTTTGCATTGTAGAAATCAATCGTATACAACCCCATCATTCGTTCAGCTTCACTAAATACATCACTTAAAATACAACTGTAAAAACGTTCAGGCCTACAATCAAGAATCCCAGCACAATATAGTTTGAAATACAGTATGCAACATACATAGAGAGCCTTCATTCGGTATTGACTTCAATATTTTAAAGGGGAAATGTTCCATAAGAATGCATCAAACGTTCAAAACATCATAAAGTGCCTTCAAATCACACAGTACTTTTGGTCAACAAAACGAGTCTAAAGTACCCCCATCATTGCTGCAAATGTTATGCCAGAATATAACTCCCAAATAGGTGTGTAGATACATCAACATTTTTTAAACATAACTGATGATTTTTACTTAGAAATCTTTTTTATGTAAAAATAACTATTCAACATTCAAAGCGCCAGCTATCACTAGCCAACTAATAAACAAACACTTAGTTACTGAACCTAAAAAGTGCATTTTTGCAGTTTTATTACCATTAATTTTCAATAGCACTGTCTTACAGCCCAGAAATAGTTGACATGCAAGTAAAAATGCAAGCTAGCGATTTACTAAGCAGCCATTTCACTGAAAGGTACTACTCAATATTTAAAGGCCAGCAGAGGTTAGCAAAGGCATTATAGAAATGTCAATAATTCATGTCATAGCACCAACTGTTGCCAGTCAGCAACTACAACAGTTCCAATCACAATATTTTGGTAGTTTATGACTGGCATGTTTGATCCCCATTTTCACAATCAAAATAAAGATTTTTTTTTTACGGTCACCATGCTTTAGATCACTCTTAGCAGGATGTACTGTATTATATTTTAGTGGCAAACCAAAACCATTTATGCAGTGGCTAAACTTAACAGTTTAGCATTGTCAGAGCAACCAGAAAAATAATGGTTCAAAGTACAGTATTTGAATACAAAATGTGCACATGATTACAAGCAGAAATGGAGCCCCACGTCATTGCTGAAATATTTAGAAACCAAACAGTGGCGAAATGTTTAGTAGAAGTACATTTTGACCTCAATATATCAAGGAATACAATTTCAATGAAACAGGTTTTAAAATGTGCTCCAAAGGTTTGTCCACAAAGATGTGCATAACAATAATCACTTCATTCTTCGGATTTAAAAGTATTTTTGTATACAACACAAAATTTGGCTCACTTTAAGCTACATAGTCTACTATGTTTCATTATTAGAATGGTAACAAATACAATGGGATATTTTGATTTTACTGTATTTTTTTCTTTTACTTAATAACCACTTTAAAAACTAGGCTATATTTGCAACGTAAAAGTACATCTTCTATTGAAGCTTCATGAAACTCTTAATCTTGATCATTATATCAACTAAACCATTGTTTTCAAATACAATCCATATAAGTTCACATAAATCTTACAAAAACATTATCTCAGTTCAAATCCATTAGAAACTGCTTCAAAGTGCTTAAGATGTCTTTCAAAACAAAGCAGCTATCCAAAATTTGCATTTTAATAAATGTCATGAGGGTGAAAGCAATAACTTCTCCATTCCCTGTGTAAACAGGTTCACCATGCTCTTTGAGCAATCCCCAGACCCTTTCCTTGGTGCACACTTTGTCATATTAGTGCAATTTCCCATTCTTGCTTACTCAATCGTACGAATATGTTCTCCACGGATAATGTGTGAAGAAAACTCGTATCGATCTCGACTGCGGTGGCCGCACACGTTACACTCGAAAGGGTCACGGAAGCCATGGCAGCCCATGTGTAGAGTGTACATCACGTGGTCAAGAAAGATCACCTGACAGTGCAGACAATTGTATGCCCTCATGTATTCCCCATCAGGCCCCATTACCCGATAGGCCAACCCTCCTTCCGAGGCAGGTGGCCTTGGCTGTCCTCCCCCTTCTTGTAGCTGGGGCACATCTTCCCTCGCTGGTGTACTTGCTGCATCTTGCGTGGCACTGGAGTTTCCGGTTCTTGACTGACCTGCGCTGCAATTAGCTCGGCCTTGGAACAGACGTCGGCCTCTCTCGTCGTGGCTGCTCTCAGTGTCTGTGGAATCGGGGCAGCTATTGCTGGGCGAAGACGCCACTGCTGCTGTTGCTCTACCGTGAAACCCCAGAGATGCTCTGTCTCTTGGCAATCGTTGCTCCGATGTGCCCTTCTGTCTGCCGGACGACTGGAACCCATGCCCTGGAAGGGGTGATCCTTGGCTCCTAGGGCTTGGCTGGCCTGCTGTATGAGAATAGACGGCACCAATTACTGGTGCATAGTCTTCTATTGAGTTGGGAGGGTTCGGGATGGCGAGGCTTGGAGATGGAGGCTGAATGCGATTGCTTTCACTGCTGTGTAAGACCAAAGGCTGCAGTGAAGGTGACTGCGACAACAGTGGCCTGACTCCGAGATATGTAGACATTGCTTGTTCCACAAAATGAGGTGCCTCATTTTGATCCGAGCTTACCATTTGTTCACAGCGAATATCAGATAAATCCAAATTATGACGCTTCTGGTCTGCAAATAAACATCAAGAAAAATCTTTAAATAGGAATATGCTTTTAACTCAAATCATTATTACTTAAGTAAACAAATCACTATGTATAATATAAACTTCAAGTATTGCATGTTATTTAAGTAAAAACAAAATCATGCTTACTAAAGAGCTTCTGTGGGGTGGAGCTTTTGCGTTTTGCCAGGAAGCTGCCTGGCAGCTGGTCTGGTAGGGGTATTCTGTCTGAACCAGCCTCCAGTAACCCGTCAGCAACCGGCTGATCCATATGGACCCTAATGTCTGCGTCTGCTGAACCAGATCACAAAACTGACCGTTAACAAAAGTGTCATAGGTCAGTTTTGTAAAATCAATTCGTCACTAACAATGACTTTATACAACTCAAATGGCATAGGCATCGTGCAATTATTGTTGCTTTAATATTAGAAAATTTACACGTCCAAGTAAAATCGTGTACCTTCTTGATTTCTGGTAGAAAGCTGCTGCTGGTATGCAGGGCAACGCTCCAGGTGTTCTTCTAGTGAGCTGCGCTGCTTATAGCAGCGTGAACAGTGGCTGCACTTGTATGGCTTTCCAACTGTGGAGAGAAAAAGGGGCAGTGTGATGTCTTCTAGTACTTCCAGTAACTTTATATAGGAACGAATATAGGTGTCAAGATTCTACGAAAACTATAGTAATATATATATAATTTGTTACTTGGTTGATCTTTTTGGAGAAAACACATCCAACCCTCTTTTAATGTCCCTGTAAAATCCATTGCATCGTTTCATTACAAATAACCTTGAGGTGTCATCTTCTATATATATATAAATGGGAAATTTGTGAATGTGTCTGTTCGAAATGTTTAGCATACTTCCCAACATGCAACAAACTTGAAATTTGGCACGTGGGTAGCTTCCAGACTGGACACAATGTGGGGTGGGGGGGGGGGGTGCAATAATGAATATATTTTGCACGGCAAGTGAGCGGTGACGTCACATCTGTGATGTCACCCGCATACAGCAACGTCACGCAGTGTGTGCCTGCTGACGTCACACATCCCCCCCCCCCCACCAAGTCTCGGGCGAAGCCGGGTAATAAAGCTAGTTAAAGTATAAACATGAAATTACCATAACGTATAAAACTGGACTACAGAAAAATGTTCCCGCATTTCCGATTAGCACGGTTAGCTATGGACGGTGAGAAAGTTAAACGTACATCCATGAAGATGACGGTTTTTTTCGTTAACTATAAGTCAAAAAATTTTAATAAATTACGATGGAGAAAAAGGTTTAAAATGACGGGTGGATGAAGACTCACTGAAACCAAATTTTCAACAAATCATTTTTCATTACATGGTTAAACATATTGTTTCCAAACAAATTTCAGATATCACTTTATTAGCTTCAACGGACGTGAAATGAGTGAAAAGTACACGCGAATATATAAAGAAAGGATATGTCGTCATACCTGAGTGCGTACGAAGGTGGCCCATCAGAGCATCTCTTCGACGGCAGGCATAGCTACACAAGTGGCACTTGAACGGCTTCTCGTCAGTATGAAGCTTGATGTGGCGCAGCAGGTTCCCTTTTTGTGTAAATGAGGCACCACATTGGCTGCACTGGAAAGGACGCTCACCTGCATGCAGATCACGATTCATCCCCACATTATAAATCGAGATTTTTTTTTTTTTCCAATGAGACCAAACTTTACATCTATTGAACTTATTAAACATGTTGTGGGTTATGAAGAGTTAACATTGTCACTACTAACATGAAATACTTGCTTCGATGTTTTTATTCCTTGCAGATCTAGGGAGCTAAGTAGGGTCGAGCCTGGGTAGTGCTTGGCTGAGTGACCACCATTAACGGCCATGTTGTCAGCTGCAGGCAGTGCAGCTAAATTAATTGTTGTATTGTACCATAATCCAATATTTATGTTCCCTGCCTTCACCAACCTGCACTATTATAGTAAAGTATTGTCAAATTGACGAATTGGCGGTACACCGGTGCAGCGTGACACACCGATCCTCATAAAATAGTCTGACAATGCCACTGCTGCCCTTTACCGAGTTGCTGACTCTGCATCAGAAGTTGCCTTAGATTCAGCAGCGCCTTTCCCATTAAAATGTGCGACATGAGTCAATCTTTAAGATACCACTGTCTGCCAAGAAATTATTCCGGAAATTAATCCAGGAATCGTCCGACCAAGCCTCGAGCATGAGTCAAATATGCCTTTTGAACACGGAGCCAATCGTCATCAGGCTGAGTGCAATGTGCCAACAGACTGTGAAGCTTCATGTTCAGCTGCTCATAACATTTGTCTTCGACTGCATTGACATCACGACAACTGATTTTGCCGCACCCCATAATATTTTCTGACCGGGGTGGCGAATCGCAGGAAAATAAATAATCATAGCGATTTTATTTTATTTTATAAAGCGCACTGATATACCGCCAATACATTAAAATATGACCTGCATGGCATGGGGAGGCCGCTCGTCCAGCAATGGCTTACAAAAGGGTTATACATGTACATGGTTTTTGTGCGAATACAATGATAACATTTTCATGAAAGCCAAATTTTCCATTGCTCTATTTTGAAAATTTTTACTATACATACAATCAACACAAAACTTGTCAGTTGCTTATGATTAAGTTGTGTAACATTCATATTCAGCCATTCTCACCAGTGTGGCTGCGCTTGTGCACCATAAGAACATTGGGGCCAATGCACACCATGCCGCACACATCGCATGCCAACTTGCTGCTGCCATTGCCACTTGAAAATCGTCTCGTTTCCCCGGGTGACCCGAAGTGCCCTCTCTCCTCGCTGCCTTCATCTAATGCGCCACAGCCCAACATGGACCCGTAGCCATCTGGCTTTCCATCCTCATGGCAGCCCGCATCCTCCATCCCATTGGTCAGTTCATCCTGCGCATGCACACCCTCCACTTCTTCTTCCTCCTCCTCTTCCCCACCACTGCTGATAACTTCTGTTTTCACCGAGCTTCCTGGACAAGGATGATAGCAATGCCTATTTTTAAAAAAAGTACACTTGCTTGGCTAGACAAAGGGACTTTTTTTACTTTATAATCTTCAAGTTAATAGTGTCCACTTTGAGAAATGTTATGTTCAATATACACAAGTGCAGCACCTTGAGGGTTCACTATACAATTATTACTCAACGTGTTTTATAGAAAATAAAGTTCATCCTGCTTACAAAATACAATACCTTTGGATAAGTGCTAAATCTCAGTACCTGTGCAAGCAAAAACCCACAAAATACTGCAGTATCCACAGAAACACCACCAGTGCTTTATGTCCATGATCATGCTTCGCATGCCAATTAAGGGCAGGTCAAGAGTGAAATATATGCTTCTTGTGTCCTAAACTTTTGGCCTGTTATTTATTTAGAACTGGACCATTTCACAGAAAATGTAATGGCCACTAACAACAATAACCACCGGATGAAATGTGAACTCACAGCAATATTTTAGTGTTTACTAGGGCCTTGAGATAAATGCAGTGCATCAAAATGATTGTACTCATAAACTGCACAGCCCTAGTGAACAGAAATTTCACCAAAAGGAAACACACTGAATTGGCCCTTTTATGGACCTTTTTTCGAAAAAAAAGGAGCTGATGACATTTTTAGCAATAGGATGGTTCAGACAGAACATTATATCTTCACATTTAGACCAAAAAATCCATTAGTAAATGTATACTTGCCCTTCTACGACAAACCTTGTGAAAATCAATTTTATGGAGACTTCTTAAAAATGTTTACCCGTTTCTGCAGACAGCTGTCTCATTTTCTACACAACAGCTAAATATAATTCTAGCCCAACATAGGACTCAATTATGCCTTGTTGACAGGTTATAAAGGAAAGTTTAAAAATATTCTTAAAATAATTACAAAGTTCAGCTAAATTTCTTTCCTCTTTTCAAACTTTGTATCATTACAAAAGAACAAATATCAGTAACTGCATTGGCTATGTTACTAATAGTTATCTATACTATTATTTAACATTGATATTTATTCCATGTCACAGTAAACCATGAATGTGCAAAAATAGTACAACCAGCCATCTGGAGAAAAAAAAACCGCAGTGCCAGCAAAAAGAGGAGCGAGTTTGAGCTGCAGGGAAAGTGGAAACGGTTTGCGGGAATGCATCTTAAAGTGGACGAGAAGGCGAAAGAAAACAACATTATGCCTAAAAACTAGTGGTAAGCTGCTTTAAATGTATTCCCTTAACATAGCACCCACATATTCCCATGTGTTAAATGTACTGTATAGCTAAAGAACACCAACATTATACCATTCCTGGCAGAATTTTATTTCATAACAATATTGTAATTCTCTAAATTGCTTATGAGAATATGAATACGTTTTAAATTATATAAAATGTTCTTGGGATATAGTTGTCTGTATATCAAAATCACTTAAAAATATTTGACATGTTAGCATACCGAGAACCTTTAAATACAACCTACACGTCTAAGCAACTTTTTTCAAGCCTCTGAAAGTTGATGGTGTCGCCCAGATTAGTGACCAAGTCATCTTCTCCAATTGCATCCTTAACCATGATGGCTGTATGCCTATACGATTATATCTGCCCACAAATCACCCTGCTGCCTAGACATATATACTCAAATGTAGAATGTGTTATACACGACATCTCCAAACCACAAAAGGGCATGGGAACATTTGTTTTTGTTATATGGTACATAGCACCATAGCAACCACACACCTTTACAATTTGGGTAATATTTATTACGCAGTAATTGTAGATATTATTTTGATGAGGATTTTCCAGTACACGTGTTTACATTAATAACAAAATAAATAAGGAGACGATACGTCTCCTTAATATATCTATCCCATCAGCCAAAGGGCCTTCTGGGAGTGCTTAATTTTATCAGCATTATTTCAATACAAGCAACTCTGAACTGGTTTTTGCTGATGATACAATGCCAAAACTGGTCCAGTTTGCTTGTACTGAAACAATACTGATGAAATTATACACTCCAAGCTTTGTAAATAATAATGTTACATTTATGTGGAAGGCAGGATACATTGTCCGCTTATTTATATTGTGCTTATATTGACAATCAGGAAAATTGTATGCATTTTCTGTTTTTCAGAAACGTATATTAATTATGATAGCAATATTTATTGTATCATTAAGTCTCGAAAAAACTCACCGAGTAAAGATTAGGAAGCCTATTCTTAAGGCAAACAATCCAATTCCTTGTCATGGTCGATTAAACTATTATACCTCGGGGACTGGTAACTTCTGTACCACCTCTTGGTCTGAAGTCAGAGCTTATCTTATGGAATTAGTATTCACTGCCACAGGAATAGAAAATGTTCACATTGCCTTAGAACAGCAAAGGAAAGTAGCACCAGCATGGGAAGATAAAGTTTTTTTCTAAGATACCATGAGTATTTTGGAAAATACTTTGCATAACAGTGTGACATAAAATAGGCAACAGGATCAACCAAAAAATGCTTTGATCATGATCACAGAGAAGTAATGAATGTTGGAATATTCTCATAATACATTCAGTAATCATTCCAAGAGTAGTAAGTACACTGGCCACCACCATTACTCAGCCCTCTTACCGTGAACGGCATGTCCTGGAGATGATCTGGGGCTGATGGGACCGCTGGCATGAGTCCCCATGCCAGATTCCAGACAACTTTTATCTGGAGACGATGCTCCGCTCCCTGTAAAAATACCCAACAAGTTCTCAGAAGTCAAAAATTGCACATGTAAATCAGAACCTAAACAAAAAAAGTAGGCGTATTAAATAGACTGCAATTTGATTGTATACGTTCTCTGAGATGCTCAAATAAGGAAAGCATGCGTAGGGTTGCATATAACACACAAACTAAATCTCTCATGTGAGCCTAAATGAACAGAAATACCGCTTGTGCAATATTTCTATATTTAGAAGCATTTACTTAAGCTGCATATTTGTACTCTGTGTGCTTGTCACTATTAGCATAAAACACTCACTTTCGAACCTGAGCAATATAATTTTTGCATGAGCATACACGAAATGCTATAATAGTAATGTGCATGTTTTATTGTTACTTTCACTATTTCTCAAAATATTTCCTATTATTTCAATGTCCCTCTTCCACTTGGTTTCACTGTATAAACTAATTAATTCTAACTTTTTAACAATAAGAAATATACCCACAAAATAACTGTGGCTTGAAGCCGAGTCTAGACTATGGTATCTAAGTGGTAAGGTATTCTTGGAAGCCGCATTTCCTAGTTGTGGGTTGTACTTCATGTGATTAGCATACAGGAGTACCGTTATGAATGAATGTCGGAATGCCAAACATCATTCTGATTCTTCTCTTTGATGCGTTTTTTTTAGTTGGACATTGTGTATTTGTTACTGTTATTTTACGTGGCATTTAGTCACCAAAAGTCTCCATGAATCCATAAAAATGGAAGGTTATGTGTAAATCCTATCTGGCAATGAGTAACTTTCCACAGCATCAATAATAGTTTTATTTTGGCATGCCAACTATGGAACCATGTATTAGCCCTGGTTATAATATTTAAAACATTACATTATGGCTTTCTATGCATTAATGTGATATAATACTGTCCTACCAACTGTATACATAGATTAGACTGAGACATTGACAAGACTCCGGAGTGAACTTTACCAATTATAGTAACTTATTTTCTCAAAAAATATTTTACTAGATAAATGTTTGGCGTGTAAATCGTTTTTAGCCAAATTTGACTTCCATATAAATATATATGCAAGTGTAGATGTAATAACAAACATGTGCATTGCATGTACAAAAGACAAATAAAAATAATATTTGTGGCCATTTTATCATTCAGATCACCAACTCCAATAGTTAAGAAAATGTGGCCATCATATAAGGCAGCAGAGAAATAGACAAGTGTACCGTTTTCATTCTGCCAACACCAAACTTTTCTGATTGTACATAACTGATTCCAAATGAGAACAAAGCTTCTCTGCAGATGTATCTGTTACAAGTTAACAAAACTACCCTATGAGCCTTTAGATTGGACGATGCAATAGCAAAGAGCAGCATCCCAGCTATGAAGCCATGGTGAATCAAATAATAGCATCCCATACTCTTTGGTTCTTTCGGTGAAGTCATGATTTATTTGAAAGAACCAGAGTATGGATTCCTGCAATCACGAAAGCTTCAAATCAATAGCATCCCAGCTATATTTGGCAATCATACCCGTTTAACATGCATAGATTTGGTTCCTGAAACTGAGTGACCCCAACAAGGGATCTGCCAAAAATTATCTGTACTGTCACACATCCAAAGGGCCTGGCTTTAAGCATCCTTAATTTCAATTGGTTGATTTCTAAAGTGATTTTATAATTGTAAATCTGACCACTCTTAATTGCTGATGGCAATAAAAGTGCAATTTTAGACTAGTACCTGAAAGATGTGCATGTCCATTGGTCCCTTCAACTTCCATTGTTAAGGCACAAAGTTGAAGGCCTTTAAAAACAAGCATAAAAATAAAAAATATAAACCTCCATTAAAAATATAATTTATTTCTTTAACATTAAAATGGCTACTGTGCATTATAAGCTAAAAAACATTTGGCAAACTCATCTGCATTAAGCAATCCCTGGTTGTAGTAATTAGCATTTATATGTAGTGTTTTGGAGTACATTTTATTATTGCTATCTAGTGTTTTGGAGTACATTCAGTTTATTATTCAGCAACATTTTATATAGGAACAAGTAAATAGAAATAGCGCCTACAAGTTGTAACACTTATGGAAAAGTTAATCGTTTTTTAATAGAAATTAACACTTCTTAAAGCATTCAGTCACTGATGAAAAAACAATTATAATATACTCAAGACAGAATTCTCATTAAATGTGGAAAATCTGTGGAAAATGTCGAGTGATGGTTGGTAACTATATTTTCTGATGGTATTTTAACTACATTCCAATTAGATGTGCTGTGTGGTAAAACATACTTTAAATGCGTGCATTTCAATTAAAATGTAAGTCCATGCATGAGAAAAGGTCTAATTTCAACTCCCAAATATTACCAAAGAAAGTTCTCTGTAGTGTAGGATAGTCCGTCGCAGCCAACCCTCGGGTCAAGGGAGGCGAGAAACAAACGAATCTGAACAAAAAATTACAATTTTGTTTTTATTATTAAGATTTGCAATAATTCGCAACAAAACTCAACTCTTTTGCAAGAAATTATGGCATTTAAACTTAGGTAATCCTACATGCAAAGCACGAATCGACAGGGAAAACTTGATGTAATGTACCCTAAAAATCGAATTTTCATTTAGCTATATAGATGTACCATTTACAAATAATCAAGAAATGCCATTACTCATCTGAACCAATAATGACAATACAATTTGAATACTGCTTACATAACCACTCTCAAAATGTTTTTCCTTTAGTGACATTTTTAGAGTTGTAGCATGTGGATATGCAATGAAAATATGGATTTCAATTGATTTTCTAGCAACAACGTGTTGTCATGTAAAATGAAATAACATTTACAGAAAATTACTAAAATGCTAAACTGTTATACAATTATTTTCATTATCCTTAAATATTACTCTTCTAAAATATTCTCCTTTATTAACAGGAAGTATGCCATCCCACGAGCATCTATTCCCCCCACATATCTTGCCCTTCTTCATGTCACTTCTCTCCCCCCCTCTCTGCTTCTCTTTCCACTAACTCAGAGTTAACATTCATCATATTTTATTAATATTTTTTTTAAAACACTGGTAGGTTTTCTGAAAGCTGCAGGTCATGGCCTGTCAATTGAAACCCAACTTTACCATCTGTCCTTCATAACTAACAGATGGTAGGCTATTGCACTATACAGTTGCTGTTAAATCAAATAAGGCAACATATAATTTATACAAATTATGGGCTCGAGTACAGGAAATGTTCATAAAATCCGGCAGCCTGCGATTATAGTAGGATTTGAAATTCCATAAGAGAATGTGTGAAAAAAATCTACGAAAGTATACATAAGATCACAATGTTTGAGGAGTGACAGTGGTTGGAAAAGGATTACATAACTCTCACTGCACCAAGCCCATCAGCTGGCTTCAGATCATCATAACGTGCACTACAGCCAGTCTGTGGTTGACCTAAGAATATTTTTTGTTTCATGTGAATTAGCAATTCACATTATTAAGTTATATTCATATTAATTAAGTGATTTGTGTAATATTACGAGATATCTGAATTTGTTTTCCTTTCATAATCAACTTACGAGTGGTCCTGATCACACCTAAATTATATTCTTATTTTATGATGATGTATTGCATGTCATCCTGCAGTGTCTCAGAAGATGCGGCAGGTAAGGCGATATACTCTCACAAAGGCTATTCACAGTGACAAGGTAATTTCTGAAAGTTGAATTGGAGAAACCAAGGTATAACACACAAATGAAAATACAACAGTGCATGTATATCTCAAGCGATTATTGAAGGTAGACTAGGATCACAATTATGAAATAAAGAGGTAAAAATAAAGAGGTAGGCTGAAGTTCTTTTGGAAAATTAATTTAATAATAAAAAGAGTAGCATACCAATGTGTCTAAAGAGGAAGGTTTTTAAAAAGTGCATACTGTCAAATGAATCAGATAAATAAAACCTGAAAACTAATCCAAAGCATGTAAAGTGCATTCTGGGAATTAAATTGAGTGACGAAAAGAGGAACACATGGATTAGAGAACAAATGCAAATCAGAGATAAATGGACTATTAAGAAAAGTGGATTTAAGGCACACTACTAGAAGGATGATGGTTGATAGAAAAGACTGGTAATGGAATTGGTGCCAAGAGTAAAGATGCCAACACAGACATGCCCGAGATTACCACTATGGAGAAAGAGCGATTAGATCAGTTCATGTGCAGGAGCAATGCAGATTATGGCATTACAATACCATGAGGATGATGATGACATGATGCTTCATCCAGCAGTAGACAGGTAATCCTGATGATGATTAAGACAAATTAGTATACATTACACTATGTAACACAATTTTTGTTCCTGGGTACTAAGTGTTATTTTTTTATTGCTTATGCCTAAAAAGTATAGAAAATGGCCATTATTCCTCACAAACTTTGCTTTTGTGACCAGGACTTACGTGAATGAAAGACACAAATGCACACCACGTTTTCTCATTGAAAATCGGTAAATTTCAAAATATCACTGTCCTGGTCACAAAAGCAAAGTTTGCGGGGAACAATAACAATTATCTGTACTTTTGAGACATAAGCAATTAGGAAATTACACTTACTAACTAGGAACATTTTTTTTTGTTACACAGTGTTGTTCAAAGTAACTGAGAGTGCATGAGCAAAGTTCAAGGTTTGGGTCAGAAAAAAGCACAACTGGCTTCAGGTCAGGAATGTAAGGGAAAAGAGATGGGAATGCCTTAAATGAATTCCAGGTCTTGCAAACCAGTTTTTTTACAGACAGCAAAAAAACCTGAATGTTTTACACCAGCCACTGTGATTAAAACCTGGAAACTGTCTAGCTTGGCTCTTGAGCATACTTTGCTTTTCAGGGGACACACTGAAAATTGATGACAACGACCTGAATGTACATAACAGAAATCAACGGGGAAATAAGAATAGCAACCAATTCCAAAAGAATGACCACAAAGAGCGGTGGTAGCTAGACAGTGGCTAACAGGGCATTTTATCCCGAGCTACTCGTACTTGACGAAACAAGATTTTAAGTTGCATTTTAAAAAATTATTGCGAATCACTCTCATCTCATTGCTTTCTATGACCAAGCAGTTTTACAGACCTTGGAACAACACATGTATTTATAATAGAAGGTATGTTTTCTTTCTGGAAAAAGGTAAACATTTCATGCAAGATGCATAGTGTTTGCCTTTAGTCGACGAGACAGTGGAATGAAACAGAGTAGGCAGCAACCTTGTGAAATGGACACATTCATATATCGTCTGCAATGCTGCCGATAACATTGAACCTGTTATCTAGCGAGTCAGTTGATCAGAAGTATAATGTGTACCCATGGTCAATTCTACCTTCATGCTGCATTCATAGACTGTTTCTGTGCAAATGTCTGAGGCAATAAAACAATCACCCAACACAAATTGTTAATGTCAGAATTTCAAATTCCCTAAAAGTAGAACCTGTAGTAAATTGTGCCTTACATCTTATTTATAAGGTCTACTGAATGTAATATTGCAGAAAATTCAAACTCATATTTACTTGGTGTAATGAAATCCCATTTTTTTAAACAAGATAACCAAGACTTGACTAATTTTGTGTTTGCAATGCTCTGCACGACTTTTGCATGCATAATGTATCAGACTTGTTATTTTTTTTATTTCAGCCACAACTTTGAAAACTCTGCAATATATGTCTACGAACAAACCACACTGAGTCACCCCATCTTATCAGATTTCAAAAGCAGGATTCAGCCTTGTTAGTTCTTGGATGAGAGAGTGTCCGAGTTGCTGTGGCTTTGAACTGCGAAATTGATAGGTGATGGTAGGCTGCAAATGGATTCTGGAACTCATCTGTGCAGAGCATTTGAATGTTATCCCCTTCTATACAAGGATTTTCTCAAGAAACACTCTGGTTTACTCTCACATCCCAAACACTGGAAATTGGCCATACATCCCAATGCAGAATCCTCCTGAAAAAGATCACTAAGACTCAGTGGGGCTTTACTGGGTAATAATAAAAATTGTAATATACTTCACCCAGTTATTTAAATCTAGTTTTAAATTATCCCGGCCCGTTATCAAAATATATTCATTGTGAAATGAGAAGCCTTATCGTGCAGTACTACCCTCTCCCCTTACTTTCAAATATCAAGGGCATATTTATATGGTTGCACGCCATATAACTAACTACATGAATACATTCAGAGGTGATTTTAGTAAAAAATATTTTTTTTAATCGGGTTTTAACCAAAAAAATACAAACTGAAGCATAAAACGAGGCTTAAATGCAAAAGTATGTTTAATAAACATTAAATGCCCTCAATTGTTACCATTAAATAGCAGTCTTAGATACCGTACTGTAATATTTCAGACACAAAAGAATCAGGTTGCGATTACAGTGAAAGAGAGACTATCTTAAAAAACGGGAAATATTCAACATATCAGTGGCATTCTGTGCAATAGACAAGCAAGCCCCTGTTATTACGACACACACTATCACACAAAAGGCATTCACAACTGCTGCACACGACTGCAGCGGCCGGGATGATAATACGAAAAAGAGACGACAGATAAAACTGGGAAGCCTTAGATTAAATGAGAACAGATAAGAGTGAGCCGAGGGACCAACGCAAGTGGGCTTCCAACCGAGTACAGCAACCACCACGCTGTTGCCACGATCAATCCCTGCAGGCTCAGCCATTGGAAAGCGAAGAAGATTCACGTGGCGAGGGAGCGGCGGCTATGATTAAAGCTGACTTACACAATCGCAAGGCACACAGGGCTCTCCCTCCGACCACCGTTAGAATAGCCACAGGATATAAACATGCATAATTGCTGTACATTATCTACGAATATACCGCTGTATACGGTACACCGATAGCGAGATGTTTAAAGGGATGGTAACGCAAGCATGCATTAGGATAAGTGCATTAGCCAATGCAATGTTGGAATGCGTTTGGAAACATTCTAAAGGTGAAGGATTGCGATAAAAGTTAAACACTGTTATGCACTACATAAGGCCTGTGTTGAACTACATATTAAGTATTCTGATTATACTGTACAGTAGTTTGTTTTGCTGCTCCGCCAGATTAAAATAATTCAATGTTCCCGTGGTATTTATAGTAGTTCCAGCACTGTATGCAGTGTGCCTATAGCAACACAGTACTGTGCAGTATACTTTATAGCACTGTACACGGTGCATAATACAACACAGCCCATCGTTTAAACACATGCATAATCCTTCCACACGGTCTTATTTGCGTTGTTTTTTAAAACACCACACATCACAAGCATCGTCGTATCGCATTGCCACCGAAACAAACCCTCCAGCCCGAGCTTGTTGGCCTCGAGACTGTACTGCGAAAGAGTCTTCCCGACAACACTGTACCCACTTGTATTTACACACACACATACACACACGTGCACACTTCATACACACACATACACACACTTCATACACACACTTCATACACACACTTACACACACATACACACACTTCATACACACACGTGCACCGTTCACGTGCCCCAGTATGAAGTACTAACTACTTGCTCTGCTGTACTCTACACGTGTGCATTGGGGGTGGTGGGGGGTGGTGGGGAGGGTGGTGGTGGTGGGGGGGTGGTGGTGGTGGTGTGAGGGTGGTGGTGGTTTGTGGTGGTGGTGGGGGGGTGGTTGTGGGTGGTTGTGGTGGTGGGGGGGTGGGTGGTGGTTGTGGGTGGTTGTGGTGGTGGAGGGGTGGATGGTGGTGGTTTGTGGTGGTGGTGGTGACCCAAGTTCGGAGCGGTTCGACTCCCTCCTCCCGCCCTCGGCCGTGTTGTTATTTCTCATTGCGCTTATCGGTGTGCAGTTATCGTATCGCTCTACACTACTTCATCAATTAATTAACGCGACCCCCTCCAATACTTACAAGGCGGCTACGCCTGCTGTGTACACAAGTGGACGGCTTCAAGAACGCTGTCAATTCCGGCATTTGATTAAACTCCGTTACTCATAAGCCGGTTTTCACACAGAAACAAGTCCATACGACACCCCCTCTTCTTTAACTTACACGAGTTTAAACGACAAAACAATGCGACCTGCTCTGCAGAGAGATACTACTACACACACGTACAGTGCTCACCTTCCTCCACGGCGTCTTTACATTAATCGGCGAACGCAATCAACAGCGCCGGAAATACGTTCCAAGTCATCGGCAAGTCAATCTTTCTATACATAAACAATAACGACGAGAAACCGCCGACGGACGCTCAGCACTAAAACACACGCACACACACACACAAAACCTCGTCGCAAATTATCGACGGGGCCTCGATCTCGCTCCACGTTACATAACCACGTCGCGACGGCTCCCGCATCGCAAAGAGCGGCGCCGCCGCCACCTCGCCTCGCCAGCCCCGCGTTGTCGTTCTTCATCCCACCCACCCACCACCACCAACCACTGACCAACCAACAAACAACCACGTACGAGACAAACCCGGCCTCGTAAACAACCACGGCAACGAACGCGCTCATTGCACGCTATCAACAACGGCGACGATGCCGATGGATGGTGGTGGATGGTTGATGGTAGTGGCAGTGGTGGTGGGTGAGGATGATAACGGTGACCCGTTGGGTCGTCAGGGGAACGAACGCGCGAAATCGCCCCCCCCCGACCCCCGAGTCCGACCCGAACCCCGACCCGACCCCCGAGTCCGACCCGAGCCCCGAGTCCGAGCCGAGTCCGAGCCGAGCTCACCCCCGAGGCGGCCGCCGCCGTCGTCGCGCGCGCCGAGGCGCCGAGCTCAGCGCGAGCCGCGCGCGCGCAGCGGGGGGAGGGGGGGGGGGCGCGGGGGGTGGGGTGGCAAAGGGGGAGGGGGCGGAGCAAGTGGAGTGCGAGGTGGGGGGGGTCTTTGAAGCTCAGCACAAGGGGATTGCGTGGCGGGGGACGGCACGAGAGGCGGGGGGCGGGGTGAGGGTGGAAGGGGGCGGGGCGGGGGGCGGGGCGAGGGGAGGGGCTCTACGGGGTGGAGATTCCAGCGACACTGAACTGCTGATGAGGCGCCGTTTGTCGAAACGGGTTTCAGGGTTTGCGAATGGGGAAATTAATAACGCCGCTGAAATTGTTCACTCCCCGAAGGGCCGTGGTCGACGATGGGCTGTGTGGGAAAGAATAGTGTGGTTTGTTTGTTTGTTTGGTTTGTTTTTGTTTCACGTTGAATAAGGCGACAACATCGGTCTGCTTATTGTGTTGTTGAGGTGCATCAGGCTTGGCTAGATGGGGCGGGGCCAGACAGAGTGGGGGTTTGGAGGGGAGGGGCCAGTGTGGGAGCTTGGGGGGGGGTGGCGTGTCTGGGCGGGGGGAGGGGGTGGCGGGTGGGGGGGGCAGCACGAGGCGGGGCGAGCGTGAAACAAGGGCGGGTACGAGGGCGTCAATAAGCGAATGGGGGCGGGGCGAGAAGTTGTATTGGTCAGAGTGGGATGGGGGCGGGGCAGAGTGGGGATGGGGGCGGGGCAGAGTGGGATGGGGGCGGGGCAGAGTGGGATGAGGGCGGGGCAGAGTGGAGATGGGGCGGGGCAGAGTGGGATGGGGGCGGGGCAGGGTGGAGATGGGGGCGGGGCAGAGTGGGATGGGGGCGGGGCAGAGTGGAGATGGGGGCGGAGCAGAGTGGAGATTGGGGCGGGGCAGAGTGGGGAAGGGGCGGGGCAGAGTGGAGATGGGGGCGGGGCAGAGGGAGGAAGGGGGCGGGGCAGAGTGGAGATGGGGGCGGGGCAGAGTGGGGATGGGGGCGGGGCAGAGTGGAGATGGGGGCGGGGCAGAGTGGGGAAGGGGCGGGGCAGGGTGGAGATGGGGGCGGGGCAGAGTGGGATGGGGGCGGGGCAGAGTGGAGATGGGGGCGGGGCAGAGTGGGGAAGGGGCGGGGCAGAGTGGGATGAGGGCGGGGCGTCGACACGGAGGGGGCGGAGTCAGACACTGGGCGAGGCGTGGCTCCAAGCTCGCTTTCCGCTACTCGGCAATGACTGATTTGTCGCTTTATAATTACACTCACATCGATCACAACTCAACGCGATGCGGTACAGTACTTATACCGTACACGATTAGAAGTGTATCGTGAGAATCGATTACGTATGGATATATTATGAGTATATATCAATGAGATGTATGGCCAGAATTGGATAGACAATTACCGACGATGAAGATGATACAAAATTAATTTAGGAAATAATTCATTTCTCATGGAATATTTTGGGGCACCCCTCCCTTCCAACTCTGAGATAAGGAAACGTTTTCCGGAGCTCAGCTTCAGACAGCTCTGTATGTCGCACACTATATTGCAACCTTATATTAACTCAGAATCAGAATCTTTATCCTGGAGGAATCCGATATGCTATGAAGCTCTTTTTCGCAGATCCAGTAGGGGCAGATCGACAAGTTACAACGAACAATACAAAACAACGATAGGATTGCAAAATAGAGAAAAGGTAAGCAAGTCACTCAAATAAGGAAATTATCAATAATGAACAAATTGCATACATTACTCCAATTTTTTTAACACCAAATGCAAGCTTGGGCAAGGCAGCAAAACAACAGAAGCAGTCCCAGATCACACCAAGACAAGATATCCGGAGAGACCATCACTGAGCTATCTTCATTCTAAAGATCCTCAACAAGTCCCCAATTGCCATTGGACGGACCACTTGCTGTCTTGGTAACTCCCTGCCAAAGCCTCAGAAGTTACTCCTTATTTATTATAACCATAAAACTTGGGTGCTCAACGTTTCTGAAATACCATTACCGCTTATCTCCAGCTTGGTTCCCTCCCTTCACTCCCCCGATGTACGTCCCTGTTACACCAAGACACCTAGTTCACTTTCACATGCACCTAACTTTTTGTATCTGGCGCTGTCTATTTTAATATTCGCGTGTGTTTCGTTTACGACCGTTAAATACTGCACCTCATTGGTTACGTGCGCAATATTATTTTATGGGTGCTGCATTCGCTCTTTGGAATACAGTATTGATGTTTTTGTTTTTGTTGATGCTGTACTCAGCACCATGGATCACCCTTCTAAAATATCCGAGAAAAACTGGCGAAACGGAATCATCCGTGTAACAAATCAAATAAACCGTTAAACCAACAAAATAGAGAATAAACGAGGTAGAAACTAATGGAATGGAGATCCTCGAGATTTTAAAATCATTACATACCTAACGGCCCACTCAATTACTTAAGGGGGGGGGGGGTGCATGGGTGTGGGAGCTAATGACTGGCCCAGAGGGTGGACAGGCAGTGGTGAAGTATGGTGGTTAGGGATATTATCACGGGACAACCCGCCGACCCTGTGGGAGTCCTCGAGGAATGGTAATAAACATACATTGGAACGGAAGGGAATCAAAAGTTGTTCACATGAACGGGACCTTTAAATACGAACGTTTTAGGAGCCAAAGTATGGAAATTGAGCCAATGGGAACGCAAGGAAGAAAAGTACGATGATTGACACTGGCTTATAAGTTTAAACAAATAGATGATACTCTTAGTTCTTTCGGTAAAGTCACGTAGGTAAAAAAATGAAAGTAAAATTAATAAAAATAAAACAATAAAAAAAATCACGACGTTTCGGAGGCAACACAAGTCTCCGTCATCAGGTGGGACCGTCACAGCCAGATTTGCTGCATCAAAACGTCGTGATTTTTTATTTTTTAAATCCTTAATATTAAGTTCGCTTTCTTGCTTAGGACCGTGCAAATCTTTCGGTCGTTTTTTAACCCACTTCCCGTGATCCAATCGAGCTGACATTTTGCACACAGACTCGTTATGCGTGACAATTTATTTTCGTGAAAACATTTTTCCAAAATGTTCCACTTTTTAGGAAAATTTTTTTTTTCATATTTTATTTAAAATACCAATGTGATAAAAATGAAACTCTTACTCAAGAAAAACATAAATGAATAATAAAATAAAAACCGATGCCACGCATATAAAGGATTTATAGTGAAAAACTTTGTTTTTACGGGTTACTTTTTATTGTTTTATTTGTATAAATTTTTATTTCATTTTTTTACCTACGTGACTTTACCGAAAGAACTAAGAGTATGAATCCTTGCAGTCACGAAAGCTTCAAATCTAGAAATAGATGATAGTCTAACGTTTAGGTCAATGACTATTTTCAAGGAGATGGGTTGAATTACAGACCGGCGATTAAAGTTTACACTGTGGCTTAGATAAAACTTGCATATTTCAAAGTTGCGAGATAATTAAACTTTCAATGATTATATTGATTAACAACCAAAGCCAACAAAACTTAAACGTGCATACAAAGGAGAAATATTATGCGTATGCATGGGTTCTGTAAAGCTTTTCAATGTGTTTCGTCGTAGATATTTAGTGACGTTACGTTTCAAACCGCATGAGAAGGCGTCACACGGCGAGACATACAAAATCCCAAGATTACGTCACACGTAA